CATTTGTTGGATTATGTTTTCTATACATTGCTCCCAATATCACTGCTCAGTACAGATACCAGAACGATCGCGTACGAACATACATACATAAAGTTACAAGCACATAAAACAGAATTCCTCACGCGGCAGCTTGGTTACACCGACCACTCAAACTGCACCATGTGTTTGCTTTTATTGATTATCTGACCGCTGATGATTTGTACAGCTAGTACCGGAGAACGCGTTTTCTTGGACACTTCAATAAAGTGACAGTAATCACTTCTAAAGTTGCGCGGAACACAAGAATTTTTGTACAGTTGTCTAAAACCCTAAAGATCTGTTTTTTTTCCCAAGTATTCATATCGAGTTAAACTTCAAGGCTTTTATTTGGTTGGCTATTTCACCTGTGCCGTTTAATTTGAGAGAAAAAGTAGCAAACCTCGTCAACAGTAGACTAATAAACTTTGACTTGATCGGTTGCGTCGGACTGTCACAACTGAAAAAAAGCTGATCAGACATATTATTCTTGAAGGACAAACTATCTGTCCAACTATTCGAAATGGTGTTCAGTTTGACAGAGAAACTGCAGTACTTTGGAAGGTAAATGTACGACAAACAATCCCTTAATGTTTCCATTTAACAGAGGTATAATTGAGGAATCTTCTTCTCTCGTGGTATATTGATTTCCCTAAGTTTTTATTTATTATTGGTGCAACCACAACGTGTTCGATGCGTTAGGAACGAATCGTCCCCGTACCCACAATCCGAATGGCACGTGTACAGATAAAGGATACATTATAAAACACTTGCGTAAGCAAAATACTACAAGAGATGTCTGCGAAAAAGTACTGTCATTTCCGAATTTCACATGATGTCGTGTCCGCTAATTATATATAAAAGAGAAGCAAATGTACTTCTCACGCCACTACAATGTGATAGGTACAGGTTTTTGCTTGTTGAGTGGTTTGATAGGGAGATAGTGGATGGTATATCTTGATTCGAACCCTGGCATAGAAGTTTGAAATACGTATGTGTTCATTATCTGGGCACCTTGCCTGACAAATTAACTCCATGCAAGCACTGACTCTACTGCACTCTATTAACTGAAGAAAGGTTGTTCAGTAATTACTGAGTACAGTTTTTACTCCTACACTGAGCGCATGTTACCCTATGAATGATATACCGTTTTAGTTTAACATATGAATTATTTATTAAAATGTCAACATATTTCTTAGTACGAGATATAGGCATCCCAATTTCGTTCACCATCATTCCACATTTCTTTCCTTGTATCTTCGTTTCCATCAATTTGTAGGGTAATTCCATGATCGGAGTGATTTTCACTCTCAGCTTTTGCACTATCTTATTCTTCTATGTTCCGGGGCAAGCCAGCCAACTTATGGTTTACTGTGCGGCGATTCTCCTCGGAGTTGGAGCCGCATTCAACAACGTGTCTGCGATTGTAGTAGTCACAGATATGATCCAGCCACACCAGACAAATACGGCTGCCTTTGTGCACGGTTTCGCCTCATTGACCGATAAGGTATTCACTGGAGTGACTGTTCAAATCATTCAACTGAGTCTTCACTGGATCGATTATCGTCACGTGGAAGTATTCATTGTCGGTGGTCTGCTTCTGATTGGTGGAAGTTTATCGGTATTTGATTATCTTTATTGGATAAGACCAAATAACCGGAACAAAGACGACGCGAGTGATTTTGAATCCGAACCGCTCCGTGGCGATTGTGAAAAGTCACCTATGACAAATTTCAGCACTTTAGGCGCATCGATGCCAATTGCTGAAACTACTAAAGAGCATGCTACAAACGGGTATTCAAACGGCAAGGTTTAATGCAAGGAAAGTTTGATTCTCATTGTGTATACAGTTTGTTCAGATCTTAGACCATACAGTCTTTCGGACAACCGGATCAGTGAAGAGCACTTGTTAAAAAAAAACATTTTTGATGTACATCTGTCTCAATACCGTTCTGTCTGATTGCGTGACACATGGTTTCTTTGCTCAAATGCGATTTGATCCTTTACGTACGTTTTCATTTTACCCTGCGCAAAACTGAACAATACAACAGAGTTCCTAATAAATACCCTTGGAAAATTCTTTTAAAATTTGTCGGATCAGAAAGCCAAACAGTCGTTGCTCAGACCGATTTTGATCTATTGACTATTCTTCTCCTTCTGAATGAACATCAAACCTCGTCACTGTGATATGCATCATTGAAGTGGGTGGGGGGGATGTTGGTTGAATACCATTGCACGCAGGCAAAATGCACTTGTCGGCAGTTGCATCATTTGCAGGGCATCTCAATAAATGCATATATTAGATGTACAAAGAAATGGCAGTAAAGGCTGACGACAACTCTTTTCAGTTTCAGGGTTCTAAATGTGAACCCCACAAACCACAGTGAGGTTGTTTTCTTCTTTGATGATATAGCATGTAATTGAGCGTTGTTTTTCTTAGCTGACACACTATTGAATACAATTGAAGAATTTCTTAAATAGATGAGATCACATTTTCACAATAAACCTTGCTCCACGATAGTTTAAGTTTGTGCTTTCTTTGAGACTCGTAGATCATAGGAACCGTCCAGATCTTGGACACTCTGTATATGGATAGTTGTATAAGTCAGTTTCATTTTCCATTCAGTTTATATAACCATTAATCAACTACATTCGTGCGGTAGATTTGGGTGCTGCCCATTGGTTGCCTATTTGCGTCCAAGAGTTGATGTACGATTAGAATTGTAACGGTGGGATCAAGTTGAATATAGAGCAGTCATTTAGACAAACCTTGTAAGGATGCTGATAAAACGCGAGATTTACCGTTTTCGGTACTCAACCGTATGGCTCAGTGTCTCTAAACATTAATCTCTTGGTCGCGGTTCTCATATCCATATGCTGGCTTTTAGTTTGCCTGCCAGTTTCAAGCGAGACACGCGTATGATTTAGTGAGTGGGATCAATATATGACATGAAAATCTGTGTGGGTACTGCGCTGTGACATGTCATTTTCTTTCTAAAGTGGTCTATGTATTATAGAACTGCTGTACGACTCACACTGTGGTTGGTTGTTACCACTGATCATTCCAGGTCGAGGTTCATCTCCAACTATTCACAATTCACTTTTGTGAAGCAGTACACTTGGGTTCAAAACGACAAGTTCACAGTGTTTTGTATTGAAGTGCATCACATTGAGGCTTTAATGAGTTGCATAAAAATCTTTTAGCCAAAACGAAACCACGTTCGCAATGCTAGGGAGTGATTTGGAACATTAAGACTGGAAAATGTGTAGAAACTACTGAATACATTTGGAAGCTCAGAAACGTCATTGTTCGGGCAAGTTTCCAAGGAGTTTCAGTATGCTGATATCCGAGATGGAACAAGTTTGTATCTGGAACAGGTGAAGAGATGGGATTTACATGCACAGAGATCAAAGTGTAAAGAATCGGTGCAACCAGATACAATTTTGTCGGCAAAATTCAAGCATGCATCAATAAGATCATCACAGATATTNNTGTCAATGATAACTGATAACAGAACTTGAGAAACACGACTGGTCATTGGGAGGCTACTCCTCAGCAACTTGAAATCAGCCTTCACCAAACCAGGAAAAATCACATGGATAAGCATAGGGGTATAAGGAGACCATATTGTTAAACAAAATGTCCCATCAGCGACAAAGCAGAAAATAAATGACGCAATCTCCTTACCTGAAGGTCGGTGGTAGCCAAGTGGTTGTGTCACCAACTTGTGACTTAGGAGTCCTGGGTTCGAACCGTCCCACCGCCGACCGTCTTCTCGGGCAGCCTTTGTAGGGTCGCTGCCCCCTTTCCTGAAGGTTGATTGTACAGTAATATATTCAATAAATAGAAAAAGAAAGTAAAAAGACATTTTTTAAAAAGGAGAACGTTGAACTTGCGAGCTACAGTTCAACTATTTAAAGACCAGCGCAAGTTACATTCAGGTGTGGCACCTGAATAATTCACATGGCTCACCCTGCTCATCAGGTCACTGATATAATTTGCAAAGGGATAGGGTGATGAAACAGCATCTTGAATTAAACCCGAACCATGGAGTGAAGCCTTAGAGTACTTTTTTCCAAATTGAATATACAGATATCTTCGCGAAAAGTAATCACTGAACCACTGAAGAAGATAAGTAGGACAACAAACGAACAATTACAGGTTGCTGAGTTAAAGAGAACGGGGCACCGAGTCAAAAGCGGGAGAACAATCAAGAAATGCACAGTGCACATATTTAGCTTTCTCGTCTGGAGACGTGTAGATGGAGCAAACTAGAAGAGAAACGGCATCCAGTGTTGAGCAGTTATGCCTTCATGTAAACCGGTAAGTTTCAATGTGTTATTGAAAGATAACTGGAGGCGATTAAGAACTGACCGCTCCATCAATTTCGAATCGGTGGAATTGAGAGCAGTTGGCCTGATACCTTCCGCAATTCGAGTATTTGTTGTTCTTTTGCGGATAGATGTAGTTTTCAAATTTCAGTCATTTGAGCCCTTCGTCCGGGTATTACCCTTCTGCGATATGCCTCTAAATTTCAACATTTACATTGGTTTCATATGTTGGGTTGGGTATTATTCAGTGATAAAAAGTGAAAGAAAGATAAAAGACTAGAAACAAGTGTGCCTCAGGCTCTGAAAACAATCCCCGAACTTCTCTCGCCTGTCAGTCCCTCCGAACTCCTTGGCAAAATCTCTCGAGATGCTGTTTGAATTAGTTGTGAATCGCCGAAGAACGTCACACCGGCTTGAGCGAAGCAACGTAGACAAGTAAGCACAGCGAGCCTAGTGATGCAAAAAACAGCGGGAATCTCCGACTTAGTCAATGAAGGTTTGTGCATTTGCATCTTCACTTCCAAACGCGCTTCTAATTAAAATTCATTTTTTCCGGCTCAGCACAGACTGCGGTTGACTCGGTGTGCAAATACCATATTCTTCTGTGGACGTCCTTTTGAAACAATTCTTTTATTTTCCCAAGTAAGAGAATGTTTTGATTTCATTCTGCAGTTGTACACCATAACATCTTCAAGCACCGCGCCCAGAGAATGTATGTAGGGCAAATATTAGCATACTCCTTGTTCGTAACCTATTGGCCGAGGTAACTTGATACATTTTACACCCTGCTCTCAGGCACATGTTTTTAATATAAGTCTACATCCCAAACAGAAGTTATCTTTTCTGTGTGCAAACTGAGCTTGTTCAATGGCTTCCACATGGTATTCATGCAGTCACTTTAGCTATATTTTCCTGATCAATTTTCAAAAAACATTTAGAATGTCTGATACACCATCCATCATTATTATTATCTGAGTCCTGAGAAATTGAAATGAAGGAGATATCATCCGAATGCCTCGTATGATGTGATGTGCAGCTCGTTTTAAGCCCAATGGGATTACCTAACCACAAAAGCTAAGGGTTCGAATGCACAATAAACCCACCCAGCACCCATTTTCATTAATCATGGCCTGTAAGTTTTCATCTTCCATGTGTTTATGTCTAGGCTCGAAGGTGTTGCACGCGACAATGTTTGCGGCAACCTTGTTCCACAATGTAATGTGTGACTGATTCGGCTTTTTGTAAACCGGTATATATGGCTCATAATAGAAATATATCATAAGTTCACAGTATACATAAACGTAATGATACCACCCGATTTGCTGACGTTTAAGCATGATCGAATGATTGCATGTAGGTTTGATAACGGGGTGTAAGCTAAAGCGATTGAAGATCTTCGCGTATATTTTCAACATGAGTTTCGCAAGTGTTGCAATTTATATACAGTTTGCAACGTTAGATCCCCATCTTGTTTTACCGCTCACTCAGGTGCATAATGGAATCTCCGTCCACCACTACGCAATACCCCACTTTTCTTTCCAATCCACTACACCTCGATTACCACGAATTCCTTCTTTACCCGATATTTAGGCGGTCGATCGGTCCAGAAATGTCAACCTTTAGAGAAACGGTGACCTTCGTTGGATGGATATGCTTTTATCGGACGCGTATGCGCACGAGATCCGGCTTCCCTATGGGTTAACCTAGAAAAATTTCGGTAGATAAATAGCTTACCCTAGGGGCCAACAAATTCTTTTCCCTAGTCTCATGCTGCAAAATGCTGCTGTGCGATATGTTTTCAGATGCATAACGTGGTAGGTATCAAACTGATTCCAAACACTGCCTAAACTATCAGGTCAATGGAATATGCTTTCAGTTTTGAAGAGAGTTTGAGATAAAGGGTGGAGAAACACTGACAATCAACCGATAAGCGACTTTAGATAATCATTTTTGGGCGATAAGAACGAGCAGCACTAATGTTTGGAGACCAAGTATTCTACGCTCAGCCCCTAAAGTATGAGCAATGCGCCTCGATGATCCAAGTCTATATTGGTTTGATTCAATGAAACATGGTGTGAATTGACGCTGAATGGCTTGGTAAGTTATTGATCACAGTTAAACGGAAATGATAAGGTTTGGGAGGTCTACATGCGTGTCTCAGTGGCCTAACATCACCGTCACTTGGTTTCTCAACCCGGTCGTCGTTAGCATCCACCGCTATTTTGAACTGATCGATCCGTTTACTCACAGCTTCTCAAGATATTCATTATAAAAAGTAGCATATAATTTATTATGAATACTCAGTGAACGTGACTTTCACAATAAATCTCATGCTTGGTGTTCATGCAGAGTTAGTCGTCAGGTTAGTAAAATAACCTTTTGTTTGGCTAGGATTAAATATTACTAACTGAAACTGTGGAGCATGAAGACATGTTTTATTTGAGAGATAGAGCACCTTATTGGTGAATTTGTGTCTTGAGATTC